GAGCATTACTAGTCCCTCAAAATCTCTTTAAATCAGCTCATATAGTATTCGAAATGTATCTTTGTAGTTATGAATTATTTAATGACGATGTGGTATAATTTTGAAGAAGCTCACTATGTAAGTTTTTTTTTTCTGTTGAATGCTTGCTATTTTATGATGTAACTTTATATGATTTATCTCCCAGACATCAGCTAGCAAGTATGGCATTGTCAAATGAAATGTTTTGATCTAAAATTTCATATTCCACAAACAATTTTAGTTTATCAATTACAGTTTGTAAATTATAGGCCACAAAAACCATGGCAATGATTTTGAGAAACTCGGTATTTGTAGTTAACAATTATTTACAGTTATTTCAGGATTGGTCAATGATAGTTTTCTTTATGGCTTTATATAAATCATCCGGCTTTAGTCGAGTCGATGAGAGCACTGAGGATTGCGATTTTTTCTCAACTGTCCGAGCTTTTGCGGTGGTTTGCAACAGCTTGACTGTAGATGCCAGGGTTCGAATACCAGATTAGGTATGGATATTTGTGACTGTAGACTCAAGAATGAAAATATTTAAAATCTATTAATCGGTATGGCCTCTTGAGGGAAGAAAAAAAAAATGTATGGTAAGAGTGATACAAGCCCCTTCACTTCCATCTCTTAGGAAGTTCGCGATAAAAATAGAAAAAGACCCTTCGGCAGATAACTGTAACGTGCTTTCCTAAATTGAAGAATCCGCTCCCAGCATCTGAACAGCTTAGTTGCTTGGGATTTTTGTGGTTTCTCTTGTGTGTAATGTGAACTAATTTCGTTTAGGTAATCTTCACTATGACGTCATTTTAAAGAAATTAGCCATCTTATGCTTTGCCGTAACTAAATAACCAAACCAAAACGGAGCTTTATTTAAGTGTACGGTTTTATTTTATATTTATTATCATGGTTATGCGATTATGCTAGAAATGGAGTATTAATAACATGTCTGCCTAAATTTAGGAAAATTTCTTTGTTTTACAATTTTATAAAGAGTTTTTTGGTACTTACGTATTAACGGAAGCACCTTGGAGCAATATGGCGTTTTTTTTACAGATGAAAGGTTAAATACTTATCGGGTGCAAGCTGGTGGTTTTCGCGGCCTTTTTTTTTTTTTAGAAAAATTCTCAAACTATTAATATTTTTCATAAGTCAGTAAACATTATAAACATATGAAAAGAAAACACTTTGTAGCAATTTAAAGCATAAATTTTAATTATAAAACAGGAATTACCTGATAGATTAAAAAACATTTACATTCTTCTTCAAATCTTTCTGTAATTTATTTTTTCACCCTTCTCAAGTTTCCAACCATGTGTTTTCGCTTGAAAAAAAAAAAAAAAAACCACACAAAAAAAAAAAAAAAAAAAAAACAGAGAGAATTGCGGAGACTGCTTTTTGCTAACCTCAGCAGCAGCGACTAGCTAAGCAAATTCCACAAACAGTATCACGATTTGTTTATAAAAACTGTTGGAACTAGAATACAACAGAAAAGATTGCACCATGCGAGTATGGCGGCGTTGCTTGACTGAAGAAATGTGATGAACATGGCTGCCAGAGTTTGGCACATTCTGAAAACTTCGCGACTTCTACTAAGGTGGCTGCGAAACACGTAAGTACCTTTTTTAATGTAATAACCTGCTAGTCAAAATCAGAGGATAGTGACAGAAATAAAACTAAATATTACTTGTTAAAAAATGAGTAAAAACAATTTATACGAAAACATTTAGCGTGAATTACCATGTTTGTTTTCCAATTGATTAAACTCAAAATATTAGATTTAAACTCAAACTTAGGAAAACTTCAAAACTGAGGAGAAATAATCTCTCCTGTTTTGAAATAAATTTTTCTTTAATATAGTCTGTGGTCACCTCTGACAGAAGTGCAAACTTCAGCTCTTGATTTCATAGAATTTATCAAACTGTTGATCAAGTTTTGTGGAATTGCTCTGCACGGTTTTGAAAATGCACGTTTCAGATGCTGTAAGATCCGAGGGGGTATTTGGCAAGCTGCAGTTTGGAGGGTCTAAGGCATCCCCCACATGCTCAATCGGATTCAAGTCTGGTGAGTAAGCTGGCCAATGCATTCGAGTGTTATTTGCTGTTTCTAAGGTTTCTGACTCCAGAGATGGTCGATGCGGACGAGCATTGTCAAAATATTTACGCCAAAAGCACCCCTAAACAGCCTCAAAAGGAGTTAAAATACATCATCCACATACGTGCACTTGTTACAAAATCTACCTCAAACATACACAGCTCGGAACGACTATTTTTGATGATTCCAACCTAAACTATAGAACCGTTTCAATGGAAATCGATTCTTTCATGAGTAGTGAAAGGTAAGTTTCATTTCCTTGCTCTCTACAGATTAAAACCACAGTTCAGGTTACATCTTGATGTATCAGTAAACAGTACACGGCGTCTTTGCATTAACAATTGACGACAACACCACTTTTAATGAGCCTCTTTGGAAGATGAAGCAAGCAGAACACAAATCTTTGATTTTTGTCGCATAAAATTCAAGTCTTGTCGCACTCGTCCTGCGGAAGAACGGCTGATTCAAGTTCCCGTGACATCCTGAAAGTATAAAACCAACTCTATTTTAAATACCTCACGCTTTCTCCGAACGGATAACGTCAGAAAACGGTCTTCGGATGCAATTGTTGCTCTTAGCTGTCCTTGACCAGGTTAGAATAGAAGAACCACTTACGAATCGGTTCCAAGTGCTTCTTAACCACTTGCGCTAAAAAGACGTGCCACGAACGTCAAGATACTTTTGTCTCAAATCGCAAGCGACGTGAACGCCACGTCGATAGGCATTTATCGCAAAAATGAAAATAACGTGGTGCACACTTCGCCTAACAACGAGATTGTTTATTTCTCGAGTTACAGCTTGCTTATTTGTTTATTTCTCGAGTTACAGCTTGCTTATCGCATCTCCTCGACTTCACAGTAAAATTGTATGCTTTTGCAGACCTGAATTTCGCTTTACGGTGAGATGTTTAGGCACCTTTTATTTTTTAACTACTGCGACTGGCCTTTGGCAAATTACGATCGACGGGACCAAGACTCCTCGTAGTCAGTGCCCGGTTACGACAGCAATAGATTAGATTAGATTAGAGTTACAGCTCTGGATTGCACTCGCAGACGCGGAGCGGCGTAAATGAGACACTTTCCGCTTGTTATATTGTAGCGCACGGCACCGCAACCGTGAAGTTTAGCCGTAGCGCAAGTGGTTAAGTGTACCAACTCACTACTTAAGAAGCGGTTCCAAGTGCTTGGTATGGTTATTTGTAGGATTTTCCGAACCTGCTGACCTCCATATTTGTGGGCTGGCCACCGAATCTACTAATTAATCTCCACTTTTGCACTTCACTTAAAGGATACTTTTTTCATTACTAATGAATACTAATTGCTTTCAGAAACCATGTTAATTTAATCAACTTTTCATACTTAAATTCCAACATGCGTCTGTTGCGCTGCAGATTGTTTATAGCGTAATGTGCATATTTTCTTTGCTAACCTATGCGCTGGAGTCCAGTTTTGCTTTTGGATGCAAACAATTAACATAAAAAATTATACCATTGGATATTAATTGAAAATTTTAATCTGTGAGCATATTTTTTTCAGATTATCCTTTAATTTTGATGAGCTGTGTATTCAACAAAAGAAAAATTTCATATGCATTAAAATGCTCCCCTTCCGCAAAAAAACTGGTACAGGTAAACCATACCATACAATAATACTGCTCCCAAAACATGCTGCTGATTACAGCTTCCAGTGGGTGTACAAAGTAATAGGCTTAAAATTCTAGCGATAGGTGTAAACTTCTAAAGCCTTTTCCTGTTTTTAGAATACCAACGTTTTGCAATTACAGATATTTTTAATGCAATCTAATAATTAGAGTTAGGGCGATGTATTTCAGAGGTAGAGATGAAATTCGGATATTAACATATGACTATTTAAAGGGCCACAGCAACAAAAATTCTGGCAAAATTTCGAATTTCTAACAACAATATGGCTGCAAAAAAATGCTGGATGCACATGACCAGCTTCAGGTGGCAAGAATCATTTCATGCAGTATGAATGCAACTCTGCTTCAAGTAATATCAGAATTCGATACTAGAGCCTCAAGTAATATCAGAATTCAATACTAGGGCCTCAGAAAACATCTGCATGAAAAGCATGGAAAGTTATCTTCATTATATGGTTTTAGGAGCTGACAAAAAACAGAGTACCTCTGATGAGCGTGAAACTCAAGAGTTAGCCATTGGCCCGGGTTTCGCAGTTCAGACACTAAATACTTGCTAACTGGAAAATAATACCCTGGTTTGATATGTTGTATTTTCAGGTGTTTAGACCAAATAGAAAAACTTGTGTGTTGAGAAAAACTTATGAATCTATGGATCTCACAGTCAGCAGGAGACTACAAACTAGGATGGCTCGCTTAGTATAAACGTCTCTGATTGATGAAACCTGAGTGCGTATTCTTTCTCATGGCTTACTGTCATTCATTCTGACGGGTTTAGCTTTGTCAATGTGTAGTCACTCAAAGCCAGAGATTGAAAATTATGGTTAGAGGAACACTCATCTGAGTGTTTTTCACCAAGTCACCAAATCTCAACGTTGCCAAATATATCTAGGATGCCATGCAATCCTCTGTAGAACACATAAATCCTACACCTTACGAACACGCAAAAATGATGGGCCATTGAGTTTGAAGTATGATGTTCTTTGCTTATAGAAATATTTGTTTTTCACATTTCAGTGTAGTTCTTGCCATGACATTTATATATTTACTTGTAAAATAAAAATTGTGCAACTAAAGAAAAGGTTCATATGTGTAAATTGTGAATTGCAGTATTTGCAAATATGTTTTCTTCTTTTTTATCATAAATTTGTTGCAATGTTTTAAAATGTATTTTGCTTTTATTTTTCTCATAAATTTTGTAAAATTTCTTGATTATTGTCATTTATTTTTAGAGCTTTAATGATGCACTTCAGGAAATACTTAAGCGTTTGTACAAAACAACAAGAATAGAAAGGGAAGATGGTATGATCATTCATCTTAGTCCTCCTCCAAGTTCAGCTCCTAATCAGTTTAGCGATTTCCAAGGTAATTGGGAGGATTTCTGAATTGAATACATGGAGACATTTACTGTGAATGTTAAATGTAACCTGAACGCAGCTGCATTATATTTGAATTTAGTTTTTTTTTTAAATTAAATTCATGAAACAAAATGTTAATAAGCAGATTTAGATATAAATGAATAAATTATTTTTCTATGCAATCCTCCCCAACATGATGACATCAGAATGAAATTCATTTTAAACAGTACAAATCAATTAAAAGAGAAAAACTGAATATGAAATATGCAGCATTTAAACATTGTATAAGAAAGAAAAATAAAGTATTTCTTATTTAATGTAGTTTATAAGAATAATTGATATACATGCTTTATGTATGCAAATAATTGTAAGTAGAAGCAAAGAGTATATAGTAATTTATGTAAGCTAGTATAGTAATATGTTGGGGGAGTTAGAGGTATAAGAAATCAGATAATGTTCATAAATTTGCTGCTTCTTTCTTGCTTTACTTCTCCTATAATCATTATTCGTCATGTTATTTTAACTCAAATAGTATAGCTCAAATAGTTATACTCAAATGGTATAACTCAATAGTATTTTAACTCAAATAGTATAACCCCAAAATACCATATACCAATTATGTGCAATGTAATTGATACATATTGATCTGTGGTACATAAATTAAACTTTGGCTATTCAATTTTTCATCACATATTACAGATGAACTTTGTGAGATCTTTTGCCCCATAACACCTATCTAGTCTGTAGACCGAAGCAGCAAATGACAATGAGTTCCTCATCTCATCTCGAAACTCCCCAGTCAACAAACATTACAATTTGAGAAGTGTATGCTACTGGTATTGTCTTTGTACTTTTGTTGCTATCTGACCATGATGAACAGAAATTCTTCATTATCCATGTCTTTTCAACAGTCATGTTGAATGTGCTTTAATGTGTGTCGGTTGAAATGAGTAACAGAATGAGTGTGCATTGCATCTGTGATGTGTGACAAAAAACAAGAGTAGTCAAAGTTTAATTTGATGTAAAATACATGCCAGTTCAATTGCTTCCTGTAACTTTTTGTAACGTGACGATATTAGCAAATGAGATTAATTATTCCAGAATTTCAGTTCCTATTATGCAAATAATTCTTTGAATATATGCAAATAATTCAAAGAATTATTTGCATATATAATTTTGGAAAACTGGGTATTATATATATAATTTTGGAAAACTGGGTATTTCCAACACCTTTTTAAACACAAGCCTCCCTACTGAAGGCTCGTAGTTTAGTGACGTCACAAACTGTTGGCCTTCTCGATGGGGTTCGAAAAATCGCCCCTAAACCAAGGCCATCTAGATGGCATTAGCAAGTTAGGGGAATTTCGTCCTTGGTCGTGAGAAGGTGCGTGAACCAAGTCTCCTTAATTTGATATTGATATTGATTTTTTTTTTTTTTTTTTTAAATTTCAATCATGCCTTTAAAGTACTGTGTGCCGTTATGCCGAAAAAATTATTGTGACGGTTCAGGATCAGTGTATAGATTTCCTGAGCAACAAGATGTATTACATAGATGGTTAAAGTCGATACCGCGAGAAAATTTTACCACTTCGAAGTATTCTCGGGTATTAATTCAGAAGTCAAACAACAAAAATCAGCGTAATATTTGCAAAATTTTCACAGGACTAGTTTCGATGGTTTTACCGAACCACCATCTTCAGCTGCAAAACCGCAAATGATTTGCGCAATCATACGCTGATTTTTGTTGTTTGACTTCTGAATTAGTATTTATTCGGCGTGTTATTGTGTCTTAATTCTCGGGTATGTTAAGCCTAACTTGAAATTTAAATCTGTTAAGGTATTTGCTTCTACATTTAAAAGAATGGATACGTTAATATTAAGGAATTTCATTTTTATAGAATACATTGTGTAATTACGTATCGATTAGTATAATTATGTATCGAATTGTATGCTAAATATTCACTTACTTATTAAAATGTCCAATTTTTTACTTTTTGATTAATTTTATAACTTAGAACTTTTAACTTCATACGTATATGGCAGCAAATGAAATTATTTAGCTTAATATTTAATATATTTTGGTACTAAAAGTTTTTTCTAAAGAAACTGTGAAGGCAATAAATATGCTTATGGTTTTTTTAAATTGTAATATAAAGTGCACAGTTTTTGTGAAAACAAGAAATAATTTAAATTCCTAATGCATGAAAATTCAAATATTATTAAAACTTATGTCACTAAGAATCCTTTTTCTTCTCCCCCCCTTCTCCCGAGTGAGAGACAAACACACATATGCTTGCTATTACCTGTTTTGTTAAAATATAAATTGCATTACTAGAAATCCTACTTTTATTACTTTAAAATTAGTAATTAGGTAATTATAGTAATCTGAGTGAGCTTTCATCATGTCTAAAAAATGTTAAGATACCTGATGATTTAACAGTTGTGATTAAAGAAATAGTGTATTTTTTCTCCAGATAAGACAGAATTTGCTCGTTTTATTTCTGCATCAGTCGTTATCCATGATGATCTGCAAGTGGAAGCATATTTTAGAGATATTCCATTAACAAAAATTAGTAACCATGAATTCCCTTTAAAAATTAATGATGTGCATAATCTCTGTTCATTGCTTAAAGAAGTTGCAAAAAATAAAGGTGATAATAATGAAAACAGCTTTAAAAATTTATTATTCGTAACTCAAGGCCTTCATGAATTAGAAAAAAATGTCCCTGAACATAAAAAGAAAGTAGTTCAGTTTATATTTAAGCAGCTGACATTACTCGTTTTGCATAAAAATAATAATAGGTATAGTTCTGATCTGTTAATATTATAAAGTTTGATGTTTTCAATTTCTCCACATTGCTACAAATTTTTAAGAAATAGTGCATATGTTACTTTGCCACATCCTTCTACACTGAAAAGATTGTATTCTGAATATAATGTTGATTAATGTAATTCTGAATATAATGTTGATCTAAAGTGTTTGCTCCTGAAATTTTCCTGAATTATGCTAAGGAAAAAAAATCCACTTTTTAGACGAAAACGATAATATGTCACTTTAATGGTTGACGAAATTCACATTAAGCCATTCTTAGATTTCAAAGGTGAAAATATAATAGGAATGTAGCAAAATATAATTGTGAAAACACTGCTAATTCTGCTTGTGTTTTTATGCTACAGAGTATTAGATCTTCATATAAGGATGTTATAAGTTATTGTCCCAGTAAAATCATTATCAGCACAATTTTTGCATGGATATATTGTGAAAATAATAAAAGGTTTAGAAAATTTAGGTTTTTCATGTAATATGTGTGCTTATAAATCTACCCTGCTAAAATTTTAAAACTTCTGATATCCTTAAAAATATTTCCACACATCCTTCTTATATATTTTTTATGCAGTTAAGTGACTTGAATATTATTAGTATGTGGAGAGAGATTCCAACATAACCTCAAGTCCTTATCAAAAGTCAACCGGTACTTTAAAGCATTATTTTAACTGTAAACATACAATATAAGATCATACAAAAATTAATAATATATAATATATTTTGTGCAAAGGAAAATGTTTCCAATATTATATCCGTGAATGAATTGAAAATATATATTTTCAATATATATAAAGTAAAAAAAAAAGAAAAATAATATGTATCTACATCATTAGAAAGTACCATCCTGTTAGTAAAGCTTTAAAACCATATGTAGTTTAAAGGCAGGTAGTAGGTGATCAACGGCGGTTGTCAGCCGCCAGTTTGTGACGTCACGATCTCGTAGTTGGGCTTCTGTTTAAGAAGGTGTTAGTATTTCTTCACATTTCTTATAGCTATGTAGGAATGTACAGTGTCATACTCTTTTGTCATGTAAAAGTCATTTAATCCAATTAAAGCTACCAAATTAATCAACAGGTAACAAGAATTCGTCCCTTGACTAAACTTTGCAAACAAGTATGATGATTGGCCAAATTCTGAAAAAGTATATTTGGGGGGGGGGCAGAGTTGCGAATCTTCCATAAGTCATTTCTATTTTCCGTTTCATTACAGAGCCTCCTGAATTTATCGAATGATCAATCAAAAAATTATCATTTAAAATATAAAAAAAAAAATTATCATTTAATTATTGTCATTTAAAACATTCTTGTTGTATTGTTATATGGCCAAACAGTTTGTCTAGTGTGGAGAAAGCATTAAGGCAGTTGTCCCATTGAAAAATCAGATTAAAGATGTCATTTGGGTGGAAACTGCTGTATACAATATTAAAAAGAAGTCCATTATGGCTCTTTTTACATTATTAAGTAAACTAGAGGGGTATATTTTTGGGGGGACCAATGATGAAATAAGTTCACAATGAGAAATCTGGACTACATGGCCAAGGTCTTCCATTTAAAAGTATCTGATATCTGCTTCTCGATCATGGGAACATGAAAATCTGCAGTAATAATGCAGTAGAAGAAATGTTTTATAGAAACCGTCATTTTGGGGGGGGGATTCCATCCTGCATTTGAGAAGTGAAACCAGATCTGTATCCATTTATTTAAGTCCTTTTGCACAAAATATTTTATGTTGGTGTACTTTTCATTCATTTCAGAGGAGTGATTAGTATATCTAATACACCATTCGCAGTTTTCTGGGTGAAACAGTTACTTCATCCTTTGCATAATCCAATCTGTAAAATCATGTTATGTATGCAATTGTACAAAGGTATGGTACACTTGATACATGTGACTGCAACATTTTTTTTAGTAAAAACTTTCTGGTCATTCTCTATATAAAAGAAATCCTGTTATTAACTGTTCTTAGTTTTATTATATTTTTCACATAGAATATGAAAATATTCTTGAATTGTGGAGAGAATTTTAAGCTGAACATTTAATGAATCCATCTTAAACAGATTTGATTAATAGCAGTCTCTTTGAAGGTACCTTTATGTCCGGAAAATAATACGCATTTGGTAATAAAAATATAGTCTGAAAGGAGCTAGTTAAACAAAATCTTTTTAAACACATAGCCTCAGGTTTTTATTCCACATAGGAATCCATGACACTGGGGAATTTATCATGTCAAGAAAGAAGTTTTTATATACCATGTCTCATACTTCTGCCAGTAGCCCTTTAAGATATACAGTTACTCTTTGTCAGAGCTCTTCATTATCAACAAAATGCTTCTCCCAAAACATTTCTTTAATTTTATGAAACTATGGTAAGTTCTGGGTAAAAGGTCAAGACTATGGGATATTTGTTTCCAAAACCTTCCAGCAAAAACCATTAACATAACTACAGAAGCAGATGTTCATATGATTGCATGTTAGCATGGAGGAGGATTGTTCTTCCTGGTGGGAACTCATTCCTTGATAAAGAATATTTCTAGGAAACAGTAACTGCATTTTTGTATGGACTGGCAGTGTAGAAATGTGTAATGAGAATTTAAAAAAAATATCTCCTGGTATGTTAAATGCTAAGTGCTTATAAATTCTCATGCTGATAAAGGCTACACAAAATAATAACTCAAGTATGTACTTTTAGGATAAAAAAGTTTTCTAATTCTTTCATTCTTTTTATATTACCAAAAGATAATTTATGGATATGCTTAATATCGACATAAAGACAGTAAGATAGAGACCTGACTTCCTTGTATTATATAAAAAGCTCTTGAATAAGTTTTAAGTGTATGAAAGTAACCTATTATCCTTCAAAATAAAAGGAACAATAGTTTTATAATATTTCGCAGTTTGATTTCTTGATCCAAAGTGAAGTCATTCTATGTGTATCCTTGTAGTTTTTCCTAATGTGTAGTACAAAAAGCTATGCCCAATTATCTTTAAAAGTTTTCAAAAATGCACCAGACACTAGGCTACTAACTTGAAAGTGCTTTGCTGGGTTAGCTTACCTACTTGTATGTTTTACATAACTGCTAGAATTTGCTATCTGTATTGACAGAGTCTGCATAGATGTCTTGTTTAAAAAATTTATTAGTCTGATTTTTCTTTCAGATATTATCCATCCAAACTTGTTAGAAATATTTTGTGCTGTTGAAAGTCCACAATCCATTTTTCTGATTTGCGAAAAAAATGTTTCTACCCTGAAAGACTGCTTAATGTTTAGCCCATTTGTTTTAAGTGGTTCAACTATTCGACCATTATTTGTGGTATATCAACTTCTTCAAGCATTGTGTTCAGTTCATAATTCTGGGTTGTTCATGGGTCCAATTACACTGTCCTCCATTAGCATTAAAGAAAATTTATGGATACAAGTTATGCCATTAACTTGTTTACATCTTGACTCTGACAAAACTACTTCTGAGCAATATTTTGTTGCAAGTGACAGACATCTTACTGACGGTGAATGTTCGGATAATAAAGATGATTCAGTAATTTCATCGAGCCTTACTTTTAAGCCTGCTGATCAAAATAGAGAGGGAGACTGTTCTTATCATGAATTGACCCTGGCTTCATTGGTACAAGATTGGGTGAATGGCATTATTAGTAATTATGATTACTTAATTGCGTTGAATAAGGTAAGTTTGCAGTGTCATCTTATGTAACATTTGCTAAGTGTTTAAAGTGTATTTTTAACTATGCAAATACTGAATATCCTTTCAACAGCTAGCTGGAAGGGAGAAAGATAATCCTCATTCTCATTATGTAATGCCATGGATCATGGACTTTTCTGTGCCAGATGGTGGCTGGCGGGATCTCTCAAAATCAAAGTTTAGATTGAACAAAGGTGACAAGCAATTAGATTTAATCTATGAATCTGCTACAGAAATAACCGGAACTAATTTATCTTGTAGCTCTGCAAGTATTCCTCAAGATTCTGCTGTTATGGTTTGTAGCTTCCTTTTCATTGCATGTTATATTTTAAATAGTATTTATTTATGATAAAGATTTTCCATGAACTAATGTTATCTTTAAATTCTAATGGTATTAATATCTTATGAATTCTTCTAGGTTGCTCATCACACATCTGAAGTTCTTGCAGATATTACTTACTATGTATATAAAGCTCGAAGAATGCCCAAATCATTTTTATGCCATCATGTAAGACAAAAATGGGTACCTGCAGAGTATCCAGCCACAATAGAACGACTTCAGGTATTTTTTTAATTTATATTTTGGAATTTTGATATAAAATTTAGAGACTAAAAGAATTCTGAAAGTGAAATGCAGCTTCCTTAGGACTTTACTAAAAGAAGTTATTAACAGATTTATGTTATTTCATGTTTGTTTTACTTTATAATGGAAATACGTTTTATTTTGCAGAAAGTAGAAATATATGGTTTTATTAATTCTTTTATTTTGTGAATGCTTTCTCATCATAAACTTGTGGGTACTTTTGCTGATTTATTCGAAAGTAAACTTAATTCATTCCTTGCTGATGTTGAGCTTTTGTAACATTTTATAAAAAACAAAATATAAATATTTTCAACAAGAATAGTAATGAATATTTTTTATATCTTTTTATTAATCTGTTATTTTTTTTAATTAGGATTATAATTTAGAATACCTTTTACAATGTACACCACATACACAGTCATAAATAACAACCCAACGCTAGAATGTTTTAATTGTTATAACAGATTGCCATATCCAGTTAAGTAGTCTTGATTCACTTACTACAAATTTAATCATTCCGGTTTGCATGTAAAATGCTTTTCAGTACTTAAGCAAATGGAGAAAAGTAACCATGTCCATTGATGGGACACTCGTAAAATAGTACATTAATATTACTTACCTGTTAGCCCAGGGCTTAAATTCTAAGATTAGAAGTGAAGGAGCTCTATGGAAGACTGTCAGTAAAGAGGAACAAGAGTAAATAAATAAATAAAATGACTATTAAACTCATTAATAATTTTAAAATTAAATAGTTCATTATTATCAAATTAATTAATAGTTACTTAATTAATGCTTATAAATTGTTATTTAATCAATGATTATTATATCTTAATATTAATATTAATTAATTATAATTTAATTGATAATTATTAGATAATTAATTATTATTTGTTGAAATAATTAAAGATTTAAGTAATTAAATAAAATGTAAAGAGATAAATTGAAATTTAATAAGCGATTTTTAATATAATCTTATTGTTAAAATAAAGTTTTCGAGATAAAATTTTTACTGAAATTGTTATTCAATTACATAAAAGTGCCGTAATCTTCTTATTCAGGGATTTCTCGTTCCGTTAATTAACTGTTGATAGGAACATTTGCCATATCAATAAAGACTTTTAACCATCATCTTTATTTAGCATTTCTTTCCACCACTACACATATTGCATTTGTCACAAAATTACGCAGTTCTTTTTAACAAAGCCGCTTGGTGCCTTTTTTTTTTTTTTTTTTTTGTTTGTTTGTTTGCATATTTTCTCGGGACAGACATCGCCAGTTTGGTTTGACCTCTTTTCTAATGCAGCTATGCTTTTCATGTTTTTTGTTTTAATTGAAATGGATTTTTGCGATTTGCAATTTGCCAAAAGATAAACAAACCGCTATTTTATTCATTCAAGAAAGAGTTATGCTGCAGAAATAATAATAATAGACTGAACCAGATAGTAAACAGGATGAAATCAGAAAGTTAAAAATGAGTGCCATTGGCACTGGTGGCTGAACTTAGGTTAATTGAGTTCTGTCTCCCTTCTGTGCTATGCCTGAGTTCTTTTTCCCTTCTGTGCTATGCCTGAGTTCTTTCTCCCTTCCGTGCCATGCCAACAAATGAAGTTAATGCATAATATTTGTTTATAAAGTATAATTTTAAGTTTTAATATTTTGGCAATATTGATATTTCTTAAAATTGTAAAAGATGAATTAAAAAAATATATGGGGCATCTAGAGAGTTTGTTATGGTTTTGTAGAATGCAGTAAGGTTTATTATGGCTACCATCAGTTAATATTTCTATGTGACTGAAATTTATCATATTATATGCCATATTTTCTAATTTATATTCACTGATTATAATACAAATCTAATTTATCTCTTAGAGAAATTAGGATGTTGTTAAGCCTAAACAACTTCAATGTTCTATATGAAAGTTCATCAATAGAGGGAACAACCACGCTCCAACTTTAACATTATTTTTATCAAACTGTAACTTTGATCTTTGATGTAAATTACTAAGATAATCGTTTTGCCACAACTGCCAAATTTTTTTAACATAATTAGTTAATTTTTGCAACTTGGAAAGTCGATTCTTGGGGATATCTGTTAAATTAGGCTTAGGTATAGAGATGATTTCTCTGCCGATCAAAAAGTGTCCGGGGGATGAAACTCTTAAAATCATTAGGATCGGAAGACATAGGAGAAAGAGGGCGTGAATTCAAAAACCCTTCGATTTGTATCACAATTGTTAAAAACTCTTCTATACTCAAATTAGTATTTCCCACGATGTGTTTCAAATGGTATTTGAATGACTTTATGCCAGCCTCCCAAAGACCGCCAAAATTGGGAGCCTTCGGAGGGATGAACTTCCAGTCAACACCTTCGGAAGATAAATATCTTGCAAGAAGCTCATCAGGAGAATTCACAATATTAAACAATCTTCTTAACTCTGCTGCCGCACCTGCAAATGTTTGTGCATTATCTGTAAAAAGTTTCCTAGATTTGCCTCTTCGAGAAACAAACCTTATAAGACAAGAAATAAAAGTTTCGGTTGTTAGATTTGTTACGATTTCCAAGTGAATTGCACAGATTGCAAGGCAAACAAATATGGTAACATAAGTTTTGTTAAATACACCTTTACATTGGTTTTTGTATTTCACAAGAAAGGGTCCACAAAAATCGATTCCTGTATCATTAAATGCAAAATTTTCATTAACACGCTCAGATGGCAGATTTCCCATTAACCGAGAAGAAGTAGAAGGATTTGCCTTAAAACAAACAACGCACTGATGGCAATTCTTTTTGCAAATACTTCTCCCATTTATGGGCCAGTATTTTTCTCTCACATAATATAATAAAGTTTGCGGTCCCACATGAAAGCATTTTTTTGTGAAAATACATTACAATTAAATCTGTTAAACGGTTTTGTGGGGAAGCAACACAGGATGTTTTTTACAGAACTCAAGATTAGAATTTTGGAGGCAACCACCTAATCTAATAATAGAATTTTGATCTATAAAAGGAGCTAAACCTTTTATCTTACTATTGGGGGATACTGTTTCACCCTTAGATAAACTTTTCAGCTCTGCTGAAAATTCTTGAGATTGTTCCTGTCTGATTAAGAAAATCTCTGCTTGTTCTAGTTCAGCAGTGGTTACATATCCTGACCTTTTTGTACTCGGATGTCTTGTATTATAGATGAACCTGAAAAGAAAACTTAAAGCACGTAAAATATGCATAAAATCATTACTTAAGTATAATAGATTAAAAAGTAAGTCTTTGTTAACAAAAAGGCAGAGTCGGATTTAACAGTTTTTTTCGCATTAAAAGGCACCCATGAACATTGGGCTCAGAATAATTCCCTGAAAGGTCAGCCCCAGTGATTTGAAGAGAATCCTACTTGCACACGCTAAATGTATGTTGCGCGCCAACCTGCACGCAACAATAGTGGTGACTGCTAACAACTGGAAAGTAGACAAATTCTTGAGAAGGGTTTAAATCCCTTTTTATTCAACTTTAGAAATTACAAATGCGTGCTCTTGACGCTCACAAACTACTACGCCGACCCGGCGGTAAAATAAAAATAAAAACTAAAAAAAGAATAATAACAAGTGACTAACTACGAGGCTCTCTATACGTAACTAACCTCACCGCGTTCTAAGATACCGCTGATAATTCAGCAAACTTCTGAATATTACGTTGAAAATTAACAATCTGCCGAGGCAAGCACACAGGCCGAAACGCGTGGTTCTTCAATTTCTAACTAGCCACCTCCACGCTCGTGCAGCAAGAAACACACTTTCGAACTCGTTTCCCTTCTATTTAACTCAGATTACTTCCGCTGACAATTTGAATCCTTTGCGCGTTCTACTAAAATTTACATACTCTGGCATTGGCAATTCCAGGGGAAAGTAAGGCTTAACAGGAAAGATAGTTTAAACTTAAAATAAATGTTAGTTAAAATAAATATAAACCCTACATTTGCCGCTGCCAGAATTTGGAAAACTTGGAAGCAGGTCCTAGAAACGACCTATTGGAAAGTTTCCACAATTCTGATCTAAATTTTAAGAGCCTCGTTGACATAAAAAAAAATCTGTTATCTCACAAAAGGTAGAACAAATTTCTGTAGATACTTATTTAATTCTCTCTTCTTACAGCAACCTTTCCTGGACTTCAGCAATCAATCTGTTCTCTTCCTTCCAGTATCTGGAAGGAATAAGTATCAGTATCTTTCTAAATACATTATAATTTACACTTTCTTGACACTGAATAAGTTTTTGTTTTTGAACGATTTATTTTCCTTAGTTACTGCTTAATTCACATTCATTCAAGTATTCAAACATGAATTTAACTTTACCCTGGCTCTCCACCATGTGTGGTGTCAAACGGGAATATTCGTGTTTTAGTATTGCAACACTTCTCCTAACCACAATGATTTGTTAGAATTCAACGACCAAATAGACACACCTTACTCGACATTCTACAACTCGATGAGCTACTTTAACATTCTTAAAATTCAAGTGTAGGTGGAGAACCCTACAAAACACATTCATTCTAAATTCCCCCTCATTTATCTTTAGACATGCAGGCTTTCGCTCTAAAGCATGATTTTATCTACAGTTTAATACTTAAATTTGAATTCATTGCTTTTGAGCATTTACTTTTAGCATCTAAAATTTTATGCTTCTAGACTAAATTCTACTTTTACATAACTTTCAAGCATTTACGTATATTTACAAAATTCTAATACATATGATTTTTACAATTTACCATAAAATGAATAAGAGAAAAATAAATTTTTACTTTACTCATTCTTCGCCAAGCTGGAGGCACTGAAACTAAAGTTGTTATTAATACAAGAATACGAAGTTATTTTTATCTTCGGCCAAATTTTGGCTTTAAAATAACAGAATTAGTCTTTCGACCAACAGAAACTACTTGTTCCTAGATTTTATACTTTAAGAAAATAATACTTTTGCCTTAGCTAAATAAA